CTGAAAAGAAGAAAAATGTAAGAAATTTTTCTGTTAAAAGGCCACTATCATACTCCTCCAACTATCACCACTCTGCAAACCTAAATTATTACGGTGGATTTTGCTTGTGGGCAAGTTGGGTTGTAGTAAAAGAGAGGTTGAACGTGGGTATTACGTAAGAGAGTCGAGGTTAATGATGGGTTTGGGTTCTTAACTCGCTTTGCTGCTGCATACTCGAATGGGAATGGGTTTGTGAGTGTAGAGGGTTTAGATGAAAAATTTGACTAGTATGAGAGAGTGATGCATCGAAAATGGAAAAATGGTGGCAATTGATAATGTGGGTATGGAGTTTGAGGGCAAACAACAAGTAGGAGATGGTCAGTGTTGTTAAATTCATTAGTGGAATTGTCAAATCCTATATTTAAGTTGTCAATGAAGGAAGTGGGTGTGTGCATTTTTTGGGTGTTTTGGAAAGTAAATGAAATTGATTATTGGGGAATTAAAATACTGATTTATGCTTCTTTACTGCAGGTTAGCAAACTTTGATGACATCTAACATTGGGTCTAACATTGAGGGGTAATTTTTTGGTGTGAATGGAATGACTTTTGAACCCTTCTTAATTTTTTTGAAGAAGGGTTGATAAGTAGGTTATCTTTTTTGTAAATGATATTAATTAGGTAGGATATGCTTTGTAATTTAAATGACAAGAAAACATTAGGTGGTAGTTTAATGTTAATGTTAACTTGTCATTTGAATATAAGTTATATAGCTTCTGTCATAGGCCTACTGATTTTTAGTAAATATTGTCACTTCAGTGGTCAATTCCATTATACATGTAGTAAAGTCTGAATGTTAATGTAAACATATTATGCTGCTCTTCAGGTGTACTTGTATGTTATTTTGTCAACATATTTTACCATTTGTTTAATTCTCCCAAGGGAGATGGTGGAAGTTGCCAATAGGTATGACTAGAGTGGTTAATTTGATTACAAATTTTATTATTCACATTACAAATATTATCATTATCATTACCAGGATAGTGAAATTGGCTGAAAATATGTTACTTGGGTTTGAAAGAAACGAGTTGCGAATGGCAATAGTGAGATGGTAACTCTCATTATGAAAGTTGTAACTCACATTACAAATGTTGTGATTATTATTACCTGGGTAGTGAAATTGGTTGAAATTAGATATTACTTGGGTTTGAAAGAAACGAGTTGAAATGACAATGGTGAGATGGTAACTCTCATTACGAAAGTTGTAATTCACATTACAAATATTGTGATTATCATTACTGGAATAGTGAAATTGGCTGAAAATAAATGTTATTTAGGTTTGAAAGAAACAAGTTACAAATGGCAATAGCGAGATGGTAACTCTCATTATAAAAGTTGTAGTTTACATTACAAATGTTGTGATTATCATTACCGAGATAGTAAAATTGGCTCCAAATACATTTTACTTGGGTTTGAAAGAAACGAGTTGCAAATGGTACAAAAGTAGTCACTTTCATTACGAATATTGTTAATCCTATTACTTGTGTAGTGAAATTGGGTCCAAGTAGATGTAATTTGAGGTACAAATAATCGAGTTCCGAATGCCATCATGGAAGTGACAACTTTCATTATGCATGTTGTAATTACAATTACTTGTTTAGTAAAATTATCCCAAAAAAGATTTAAATTAGGCCTACAAATATCATAACATACAACCTACAACCATAAGTCAAATATCTTGACAATATCTGGACATTGCTTTCACAAGTACTAATTGCTTAATCTACTAATCTTTACTACTATCACAGATGTCATCTTTTGGTCAGTGTGGTGGCTTTATTTGATAAAAACAAGCTCAATGCTTCGTCACGTTTTGAATTGAGGCTATGATTCACTAGCCACCACATGAAAGCATAATTCAGTAACTTGACACTGATTTTTCAGTTTCTATTTTGAGCTCATAGGCTATAAAACAATCTGATTCAAACAGCACAACCATGATTCACCACTTAGAGACATAAATCATTATGTCTATATCAGTTTTTAATCTCTAGCTCTTCAATCCTTAAACCAGCAGATTTAAAAGAAAAAAAGGAAAATCAATTTTATGCCTCGATAATTTAGTTCCACTAGCATCAATTCACAAGCAATGACCCACATACTCACATATATACAATTATTTTACAAGTATAGAATCAGCTTTTAACCTTCAAAACATTTCAAGTAGACATAATATATAATTTGTAAATTATTTTCACTTTCAGAACATACTAATATATAATTTAGATTTATTAAATAGTCTCTGAACACCACTGTATTAGCTTTTGAATTTTCAAAACTTGAATCCCGCAACCTCAAGCATCAACCTCCCCAGCAGCAAAGAACACACACATGCTTGTAGGATGATATATCATAGCAAAGATAACCAAATTCCCATGATTTTGACAACTCAGAGAACTTCAAGAATATTGATTTCAGAATCTGTAGACATCCTTTATTCATTTAGCATCAGAAAACACAGTCCCCAAATGACAACCGATTAAACCCCCTTCTGAGATTTAAAAAAACTCGATCTTTCACCCACATCAAAATCATAAACACACACATATATTATATCTTACAACATTACAGCGGCACAACAGTTAGAGGAAAATCTCATTAGGCAGTGACTATGATTCAAAGGAAGGGAACAACTCGAATACTACATACACACACAGAAGCAGCAACCCCTTCTTCAAACTTCACAATTCAAAGCAGTCCAAGCACCGATTAATATAGCTATAAGTTTTAATCTACCTTTAGATTTCATTTTAAGCCTTTATCATTGCTTCCCCCACTTTAGAACCAAGATTCGCCCTTTTTCCCAAATAAAACCACTCTAATCAAAGAAGTAGAAGACGGAGAGATTTTAACATAATGGTGATAGTTGAAGGAGTACGATACTATCATTTTAACAGAAAATTTGCTTACCTTTTTCTTGTTTTCAGATTTTCACTCTTGCTTCAGCTTCCTCTTCTCCACTCTCTCTCTCTCTTCTGCGTGTCTTGTTTCAGCTCATGAGTTCACAAATATTCAGGGGTGTTTTAGTCTTTCCACCGAATTGTAATAATTCCATATTCATACCTCAGGCCCATTTGGTGATTTCAGTTATTTGCATGCCCATTTTGTCATTTCAAATTTCAACAATCATTTTCTGGTCATTTTCTCCAAAAAAAAAAAGAGGCATTGAAGTGCAAATAGGACGGTTAATTGATGATAATTGACAATATGAGGGACAAACAGCCGGGGAAATCATAAGTTGGGGTTTAAAATTGTTTTTCAAATCAAAATTGAATTAATTTTTAATGTAATATATATATAAAACAATTAATTTTTAACGTAATATATATAATTTCATATCTGGTAATATATATATATTTATATAACTTCGTATGGTCTAAAAACAGCATATCATAAATATTGAAAATTATAAACAATTCACGATCGCACTACTGAATATGAAAAAAAAATTATTGTTTTCTAAGAAATATTGTTGAATTTTAATATTATGCAAAATGATTTTATAAATATCAGGAAAAATATGCATGGAAAAATTTAATTATGACCTTAATTGTTACAATTAATTATAGTTTTTTTATTTTTTAAATTTGATGATATAAATAGGTAGACATATAGTTACATATAGTTTTTTTTCCCTCTAATATGTTCGTTTTTGTAAAAACTTTTATTGGTAAAAGCAATTTGGTACAGCTCATTTTTAATGCTGCCATTGATCTTCAATTATGCGCAAAAATATTTAAAACAAAAATTATTTGCGCATAACTAAAGACACATCAAACAAAAGTAAATAAAATTAAGCTTACTAAAAATATTTTCACCCGCCTAAATTTAGTTCTTTTCACCAATAAATTTTATAACTTGAAAAATTTCACTAAATTTGACAAGACAAAAATAGGTATATGTTTTTAGGTGGAATCAAGGTATTTCTAAATCACATTATATTTGAGATTAATTTTCTTAAACCAAAAAGAGTTAAAAAATAACCCTCTCAGTAAATATATTTTTTAAAATTTAAACTTGTGTTTTATTCGGATACCCCCACTTTGGACGGCTGCCTTCCCTCTGTCTCACTTTCACTTATAACGCATTATTCATTCGAACAAACATAGACTCTGTCCAATTTTGATTTTTCCACTCCCCTACCAGCCGGCCCACCCAACCCTAGTGGCCCCCATTCCCTCTCCCCACTTTACAAGGCCCTCTGCACTCCAAATTTTACAAAAAATTTTAAGAATTCTTACACTTGTATTAGAGATATTTCATATTATTCTTAACCAAATTTATTGTTATCATTTTATTTATTTTATATGTATAAATTACGTTCCCAAAGCTGTTTTTGATATCTCTATATAAAACACTCAAGAAAACCTGCAAGACATTAAATAATTTTTCCTAATCTCTAGTCAATCATGTTCAGCTATTCCAAAATTTCACATAATTTTCCTTACCTTTCTAGACAAGGTAAATCACGATTTTTATAAAAGTATAAAAGAGGAGGTAATTAAAAAATGAAAAAAATATTCATGCGATATTGTTTTAAAAAAATAATTGAGATGAGGAGAGAAATTAGTGAAATTCAATTAATTATCAAATTATCATGATTTTTGAAAGTTAAAGTGATTTATGATAAGTAAGTATAATAATACATTATCATTTTACTGCTTATGAATTATTAGTTGCTTTATTTTTCGTTTATTAACGCAAGAGTTTGCCTAATTTTGTACACAAAGGAGCAGGAATCAAACATTTAAACCCAGGTCCTGTGGCCTTGTGACGTGTGCGCATACGCAGGCCCCGTGGGCTTGGGGCGTGTGCGCATATGTCAGCCATCACGAAGACTCTCCAAAATGCCTATTTCCCGCGCATGCAGTCTTCACTTTTTCTGCGAGTTTCGCAGCTCTTCCTCCTCCCTCTTCTGAAGGATTCGCCCATTGTGGCTATAAATTGGTGCGGAGGCCTCACATAGGAAGAGAAAACCCACATTGATCACTATAATACTGGGAAAATGGCCGACGCAATTAGATTCTTTGAGCTCAACACTGGGGCTAAAATGCCTTCCGTTGGTTTAGGGACCTGGCAGGCTGATCCTGGTGTTGTTGCCCATGCAGTTACCACTGCTATCAAGGTACATTTCTACTTTCTGACTGCTTCCCCCTCCCCCTTCAAAAATTTAAATCCTCGCCGTTTTTTACATGGTTTACAATGAGTTAGGGATAATATGAATGTAAATTTCTAAACCTTAAAAAGGAACTGAATGTCATTTATTCTTTGTGTCTGAGTTCTTGATGGAAGCTGGTCTAACTGAAGAGGTATGAATATGGCTACTGTTTATGCAGGTTGGGTACAGGCACATCGATTGTGCTCAAGCTTACTACAATCAAGCAGAGGTATTAAAAATTAATGATCAATGGTTTCTCTCTTTATGCCTTGTGTGAGCTATTTATTGATTAATCTGAATTCATATGGTTTTCGTAGATTGGTTCTGCCCTTAAGAGACTGTTTGATGAAGGAGTTGTGAAGCGTGAAGACTTATGGATCACCTCCAAACTCTGGTTTGTATCGTCTGGGAATTTCTGCCCAGCTTTTGACTCCCAGAATGCATGTTTTTGCCTATGGCTGCTGAACAGCGATGCTCTGTTTTTCCTGACAAACTCCAGGTGCGCAGATCATGCTCCTGAAGACGTACCAATTGCGTTGGACAAAACTTTGAAGGAATTGCAACTTGACTACCTAGATCTCTATCTGGTATAGTTTCTTGTTTGATTTCTGGTTTTAGATGCAAATCTATACTTCACAGCAATTCAAAGGGCCAACTGTCTTGGTTTAACGAAACGAAGATATGGGGTGCTTTTTGTAGATACACTGGCCAGTGAGGATGAAGAAGGGATCGGTAGGACTCAAGCCTGAGAATCTGACGGAAACGGACATAGGGAGTACGTGGAGGGCGATGGAAGCGACGTACGACGCCGGCAAGGCGAGAGCGATCGGAGTGAGCAATTTCTCGAGGAAGAAGCTGAATGATCTGTTGCAAATGGCGCGCGTCCCTCCCGCAGTTAATCAAGTGGAATGCCACCCTCAGTGGCAGCAGCCACAGCTCCATGAATTCTGTGCCTCCCATGGAGTTCACGTCTCTGTGAGTATAATTGCACCGACCCTAAATCCACAGCTCTAATTGATCAAAACGCATGTATGTGAAGTATGAGTAAAAACTTGTGCGCATTGCCCACCCGCTCGAACACCAATAATTTGTTTTAAAATGATAAATAGTTTGATTTATTATGAATTATAAATTTTATGCGGAGATATTGACAAAGATGATTTGTGTTGCAGGGATATTCACCACTGGGGTCTCCAGGAACAGCATGGATCAATGGTGACGTTCTTAAGCATACAGTGATCAACATGGCGGCAGAGAAACTGGGGAAGACTCCGGCTCAAGTGGCCCTTCGCTGGGGCCTCCAAGCAGGTCACAGCGTCCTCCCTAAGAGCACAAGTGAGGCCAGAATCAAAGAAAACTTCGATGTCTTTGACTGGTGCATCCCGGCAGAACTAATGGCCAAGTTCTCTGAGATTAAGCAGGCAAGGGGTGCTTCATTCATTTCTGAAGTTTAATACAGTATGGTATGTAAAATGCTTGGCCTTTGAATTAACACATGAAGTTCACTGGTGCAGGAGAGGCTAGTGAAGGGAACTTGGCTTGTTCACGAGACACTCGGTTCCTACAGGACCATTGAAGAACTGTGGGATGGTGAACTGTGAGTGGGAAGCAAGATGCATGATTAACGGATGATTAATTGCAAAAGAGTAGGAGGAACATTTGCCTCATATGTCTCATCATTTTATCCTCTGTTGATGTTCTGAATGAGTTCTAGTCCAATAATTGAAGAGCAGATTAATTCTGCCATTGATTTTCTTTCTTGTTGCAGTTCGCAATAGTCAGAAAATAAGAAGTTTTGTTTTTGTAATGTCAAATACATTCCGGTATCCTATTTGAGTTTGGTTATTGTTTCTATCCCTTGTTATTATTTGGATTACCTTCCGTTCATGTGGTATATATTAAATTGGTTGGTAATGAAACGGAGAACGAACACCTGCATTCTATTGCCCAAAAAATCCCCGCAATCATCAGTGTTTCTGTTTGGATTAAAATAGTACTACTTCTTAGTATAAGAGTTAGCTTAACTTTTAATTTATTTCTAAATATAAAATTTCGATATACTTTGTCGTTCATATTTATTTATTTTTTTTAAAATTAGTAGTCTTTGTAATAATTACACATGTTAAATATTTTATGAAGTAAAATTTTATTTTTAAGCAACACAACACTTATTTATTACAAATAACTAACTTAAGTAATTTTTTTAATCTATTCAAATCAGTGAACTAGCTTTTATATTAAGGAGCGGGGTAGCATTTTTTTCTCTGAATCCCTTCTCCACCTTAAGAAAGAAATAATAATTCAAATGTAAAATTTTATAAAAATATTATTATAATCGAATATACCTTGCCACCAGTTGCCTCTTGAAGCGATTCCCGAATCATCTCCCCCATCATTCTTGTTCTGTGAAAAATAATAAACTATATAAGGGGTACAAATACCAGCGAATACATACATCAACCCAAAGAGTAGCTGTTTATTTGCAATATCTTAGATTTGAGTTGAACTCCACGAAAGGGTATTGCAGTTTTACTAACATAATAATCCTCTCGTTTAAGAAATAAGCAGGTTAGTAGCCATTGCAACTTGCAAGCCAAGCCATTAACAAAATTAACTAAATAACTAAAAGAAATATTAAAAAAACATATATTTAAAAAACAACCTAAGAGCCAGCAAATTATTACTTGAAACCATCGAACTTGTGTCTATAGTTTCCTATTTTATCTAGCTGCCGCTTTTATATTTTTGGATTGGGTTTCTGAGTTGACCTTTCTCTTATTGCTTTGAAAGCATAACGGCACCTAAGGCGCACGCTTGGAACAATGGAAAAGGCACTAAATGGGATATCATCTGCAAAGGAAAATAATAAGGAAAGCTCACAAATTAATCTCAATATTGGATATAGGGTCAAAAATTTGTCGCTTCATATATGAAAATATGAGAAAGCGCACACTTGCAAATAGAAGAAAGCTTTCCATAGGAAATGTCAAACAAGATGAGGATATAAGCACTGAGGATTATGAAAAACAGAGGTAACAAGAAATGACCAAGAACTATTATCCTGTCTTAAATATAAGACCTCATTCGTAGACTACAAACGAAATTTTATATTTAGGACCGAAAATAATATCATGTGACTTTATCAATAATACCTAATATACAAATCCATAAGAAGAAAGCTTCAATCAGAGTAACCTACCACGAGTTCTGTTTAGGGCTTTTTCCTTCAACTCAGAACACAAAGATTCCCCCTAATATCTGAATCAACACAATTATGTAAAAATCTCTGAGAAGCTAATAGACTTGAAATGAATTTGATCATGTTTGAACCTAAGTTATAGATTCAAAACAAGATGTCCAAAACAAGCTAAAACCAATCATTTAACTAATAAACAATTTCTGTAAATGACCATTAACCAAGGAGAAGCTCAAAAAAATGAAATCAACCTCGATTGAGTCAAATGATTCGACATTTATGATTTCTCTTTGTTGGGGAAAAGTATGCTATTTTGTTATTTCTAATTTATTCAATAGGAATATATGTGAAAACATTACAATCCTTAATAGAACTCTAACATGCTCTGACAAAAAGGGATAGCATATTTCTTAACTAAACTCTTCAAAAATGGACAGTTGGCTAATGCTGGGAAGAGGAAACATGGGGGACCACTAAGCAAGAACATGTCAAGCGGAGTTGTTAAGCCACTACTGGTGGTCTCAACTCCACAACTAACCGCGCCTTATATTTTCTTTTCTAAAGAAAATTTTTTTTATCTTTTATTTAATTAAAAAAACTTAGGCACCTATCATTTTTATAGTTACTGGGGGTTTGACACATAATTTTCTTCTTTGAAAAATTAACCTGCCTTATAAACACTTGATGTTCATTTGGAAGCTCCTGTATAAAGCTCTACCCACAACTGACATTTTTCAAAAGCATCACCTCAACTCTTTAAGGCCATGTATGTTTGGTTGTGACATGAAAGAGACTTAAGAGCATATGTTCATCTCTTGCCCTTTCTCTAGAATTATTTGGTTTGGATGTTTTTCAATAAAACTCTCTACTTCTTTCTTTGAGAAATCAAATATTCTCACTATGCATGATAATGTCAAATACTTTCAAAATAGCATCACTAGCAGCCATGACTATGTCACTTTCTTTTGTTTTGATCGTTTACTTACGTCTTAAGTATGATATTTTAAGTTTTTAGCCCAACTTCACTCTTTTCCTCAGTCCCTTTTCGTTTTTCAATTCTCACAATTTTATCGCACCATTAATTTTCAAATCTTTGTTTTTTTTACAAAAAAAATTTTAAATATCTTTTAGTAATTTTCAAATATTATAGAATTTTCAATGAATCATTCCTGTCCTTTTTCTATTTTCATCATTTCTCCCCACTTGAAGAACTTGCCAAGGAGGCACAAATCTGGGGAGTGAAGAAGACATACATATTGATGGTTGTTTGACATCAAACGGTAAGATCTAACATTGACAGCGTCTTTCAAGGGTGATTTTTTTTTGTGTGGAAGTTTTTGAAGGTGGGTTTATCTTTGGTGGGAATGTTGAGGGCTATTTTAGGAGGCTTATATGCCAAAAGGAAAGATGCAAAACAACACTCTGATACCGGCTCTAATATCAATTGATACAAGACATGAAAGGAAAAAGGGGAAAAGAAGAGAAAGAGAAGGGGAAGAGAGACTATAGGGGGAAGGACAGTAAGAAATGAGGGAAAATCATACAAACAGAAGAAAAGAAAAAAAACTCAATATTCAATATTATTCAATTCATAATCAAAAAGTATACAAAATGAAATGTGATTGAAGGCTATTTATATTTTTCTTTATGTTGAAGCAATCCTCCCAACATTTCAGCTAAATCGTACTGACAACAAAAATGCTACATGACAATATTTTGTGATATAGTAAGTATCTAGCTGAGGACAAGTTAAGTAGATCATCAAAGAAGATTATTCTGGCCATTAAAAAGGTAGTTTTAGCCTCTATCTACCATTTCAGTATTTAATTTTATTGTAATCTGATTTTAAGTTTTTGATGTTAAAGGACGTTCACTATTTGTGGACATTATTAAAGTCAGGGCATCAAATTGATCGATATTGGTAGATGGCCAAAGCTACTGTTGATAACGCTGTAGCAGCTGCAACAAACATCTACCTCCATATGTGTTAGCCTCCACTAAAGATAGAATTTATCTATCAATGAGCAAAGTGCCAATTCTGAATGTTTGAGTTAGTTGTTTTGAAAGAAGTCAAATTGTTCTTCTTATTCTTTTGTTTATGGAATTCAAATATTTTTTATACGATGTGACGGAACTCCTCTGTTTTGTATAGCTCAATTTGCTACAACTCTTTGTTTGGACTAGTTTCTTTTATTTTAAATTTGATACGTTTTTTTGATACAAAAGAGGGCTATGTTCAATTAATAAAAAAAAAACTAGGGGGCATTAGATCCCAGATACTCTACAGCAACAATAGTCCTCATAGAATGAGAAAATTGAGAAAATTCTTTAGAATGATGCTTTAATTAAATGAGACCTAGACGGTTAGATGCATATCAAGAAAAAGAAAGAAGAGGAGGGCAAAGAAGAAGGACGAGAATAAGTGTATGCTGCTATGAAGATGATTTCTTGCATAAGGACCACTCCAAGATACAATTTCTGAGGCATTTTAGATGACATCTATGCTGACTTGTTTATTTTGGGAACAAAACTAAGTGAAGAGGAAAAAGAAACATGGAGTAGGAGAAGGCGATGGGCAAAGGAGAGAAGTTATTCAGAATGAGGAAGCGTCTTCAAATGAATAAGTATACAGTAGTGAAAAGAGTGGGGAAAAGTTAAACATGTTCTAATGGAGGAGGTGTTCCAGATTTGGGGCTGTGCCTATAATAAATATTAATTAATTATTAATTTTTTTGGATTTTTCCTAAAACTAGAATGTTTTGAAAAGAAATAGAAACAATCAGTTTTAAGACAATACTACTACCTTGATGGATAATAAGATGTTTTTTTTAATTTTAATTTTGAAATTCTAGCCAATTTTTTTTTAATTTTGAAAGGAGAAAACTAAGAGCCCATTTGGTTTATGGAATCTATGAACATGTAATGGAATGTAATGGCATGGAATGTGATGTAATGGATTGAGATCACAAAGCATATGTTTGGTTTGCATTTAGGAATGACAGAATACATTTTATTTTTTAAATTTAATGAAACTTCAAAAAGACCAAACTACCCATCAAAAAAAGTCCCCTTCCTCATCTTTCCACAAGAGCATCAAACCATCATCTTCTTATCTCTTTCCTTCAACCTAAGCTTATCGAAAGCGAGATCTAGCCAATACCCACTATATGGAAAATGTCTTTCCTTCATAAATCTTGGACCATCATCTTCTTCCTTTCCTTTAATTCCTACAATGGAGATCTTCATTAACAATGACAATTTGGAAAGAATGATATATAGATTTGACGACACCCCATGTGAAGGAGATCTTTTGGACCTAAGGTTCATTAGCCTCGCAACCTACTATGGCCAATAATCTTGTCGGACGAAGAGGTGGCTAATGAAGGGGGATGGAGGATGGTGGCTGAAGAGGTTTGCTAGTGGAGGAGCATTGCCAGTAAAGGTTGGACAGCAATGGCGGATGGGTGGTTGGTTATCCAGTGGTGGACGACTATGAAGAGATAAGGGCAAATAATGTCTTTTTTCATATTCCCATCTGTTGTAATCCTCATTCATATATCCCAGCAGTGTAATCACAATGCCTCTACCTAAGGTAATGGGCATTACAAAATGTTATCCCTTTTACATTACGCAAGTCTAACTAAACATTTAAATCAGACTATTGCAAATCTCTTTTCATGTAATTGAACCAAATAGCTAGAAATCAATTGTGACATAAAATTATATCTATTAATATAAATGCTGAAGATTTACTAT